GAGGTGGGAACGACAGACTAGGAGGTAGGAAATACAGAGTGGGAGATGGGAAGTGGGACGGAATACAGACCGGGAGGTGGGAAACTACAAGTATATACAGTAGAAAAAGGATCTAGACGTAAACGTCACACCGAACATATCGCCGGAAGAGCGCATATATAAACCATATGATTTACGCAAGCAATACGCGGCAATTTCAGAAAAGTTTTCAGGAATCTCAACAAAGAATTACTTGAGGACTCTTGATATAACGTACGTCAGACCCATCTTAGGATATACAGCACCAGTTTAGAGCCTCCACACGATTCAGCACATACAAGAGCTTGAAAGGTTTGTAACCAGACTAGTTCCAAAGCTTAAAGGGGTATATTATGACGAGAGACTAAACGCATTCATTCAGACGACCTCTAGGGGAGAGGAGAAAGAGGGGCATGATTAAGATGTATAAAATACTCAGAGGAACTGACTAGGTACAAGGGAACATAAATAAATAAACAGATAAGAGTGCTAAGAAGCAGGATTGCAAATCACCTGGATTCCCAAAATCTGCACAATCCAGGGCAACATGGGTTCAGGGCAGGTCGCTCCTGCCTCTCACAACTACAGGATCACTATGATATGGCCTTGGATGCACTGAAAGAAAATCAGAATGCAGATGTAATATACACAGACTTTGCAAAAGCATTTGACAAATGCAATCATGGCGTAATAGCCCATAAAATACGTGCTAAAGGAATAACTGGGAAAGTGGGGAAATGGATCTTCAACTTCCTAACAAATCGAACACAAAGAGTAGTGGTCAACAGAGTTAAATCGGAGGCTGCCATAGTGAAGAGCTCTATTCCACAAGGCACAGTACTCGCCCCCATCTTATTCCTCATCCTCATATCAGACATAGACATAGATATACATCACAGCACCGTATCATCCTTTGCGGATGATACTAAGATCTGCATAAGGCTGTCATCTGCTGAGGACGCGGTTAACCTCCAAGAAGATATAAACAAAGTTTTCCATTGGGCAACGGTAAACAATATGATGTTCAATGAGGACAAATTCCAACTACTCCGTTATGGAAAACTGGAGGAGATAATAACTAGATAATAATAATAACTAGATAATAACTTGGTGGCCCGGTGGCCTGGTGGCTAAAGCTCCCGCTTCACACACGGAGGGCCCGGGTTCCATTCCCGGCGGGTGGAAACATTTCGACACGTTTCCTTACACCTGTTGTCCTGTTCACCTAGCAGCAAATAGGTACCTGGGTGTTAGTCGACTGGTGTGGGTCGCATCCTGGGGGACAAGATTAAGGACCCCAATGGAAATAAGTTAGACAGTCCTCGATGACGCACTGACTTTCTTGGGTTATCCTGAGTGGCTAACCCTCCGGGGTTAAAAATCCGAACGAAATCTTATCTTATCTTATCTTATCTTAACAGAGTATACTACAGACTCTGGCCATACAGTAGAACGGAAAAATAATGTAAGGGACCTGGGAGTAGTAATGTCTGAGGATCTCACTTTCAAGGATCACAACAGTGCCACGATCGCACGTGCAAAGAAAATGATAGGATGGATAATGAGAACGTTCCAAACGAGAGATGCCAAGCCAATGATGATCCTTTTCAAATCACTTGTTCTCTCTAGGCTGGAATACTGCTGTACATTAACATCTCCATTCAAAGCAGGTGAAATCGCAGATCTAGAGAGTGTACAGAGATCCTTTACTGCACGCATAAGTTCTGTCAAGCACCTTAACTACTGGGAACGCTTGGAAGCAATTGACTTGTACTCGTTGGAACGCAGGAGGGAGAGAGATATCATAATCTACACTTGGAAAATCTTGGAAGGAATGGTCCCAAATCTGCACACAGAAATCACTCCCTACGAAAGTAAAAGACTGGGCAGGCGATGCAAAATGCCCCCAATAAAAAGTAGGGGCGCCATTGGTACACTAAGGGAAAACACCATAAGTGTCCGGGGCCCAAGACTGTTCAACAGCCTCCCATCAAGCATTAGGGGAATTGCCAATAAACCCCTGGCTGCCTTCAAGAGAGAGCTGGACAGATACCTAAAGTCAGTGCCGGATCAGCCGGGCTGTGGCTCGTACGTTGGACTGCGTGCGGCCAGCAGTAACAGCCTAGTTGATCAGGCCTTGATCCATCGGGAGGCCTGGTCATGGACCGGGCCGCGGGGGCGTTGGTCCCCGGAATAACCTCCAGGTAACCTCCAGGGATGTCAGGAACTCATTTTTTCCACTCAGGGTAGTAAGAAAGTGGAATAAACTGGATGTGGATGTGGTAGACACTAACTCTACATATAATTTTTAGAGCATGTGATAGGTCTCAAAACACCAAAAAGCAGTAATGCCAATCGATGAAGCTTAAGAGGCGGGGCCAGGAGCCAAGACTCAACCTCTTCAAACACAAATCAGCAAGTACACACACAGAGCTCCAGAGATAAGAACAGAACAGTTGTGTCCAAGGCAATACTAATCTAAAACATCACGGAGCGGGACTTCCCGCGAGGTATCTCCTTCAGATCAATGTATTGTGTTTGTCTCTATCAATTATATAACCATCTCTTAACATATTGACCTGGTGGCTACTGCTAATGGGAAATTGTTGGTTTTATACCTGCTTCAAGGCCGCATTATATAAATAAATAAATGTATAAATAAACATGTTCCTTTCCTGGAAAATCCAGGTGGTCTTTAGTGGGACGTGGTCCTCTCCCTGTGCAGTGCTGCCAGTAATAATAATATGCGAAGACCCCCCAACTTTTTTTCCTTTCAAGGTTTTATATGGAATACTTCGAAACTGTTCTACTTGCTGCTGTTGGGGTGCGCCTTTTCCACTTACTCCACTGTGTACATAATATCTTTGCTCTTCGGCAACAAGACTCAAGTCTCTTCCAATCATTTCTCGATGCACTTAACCGTGCTCCTTCCTTCAAATTGAAAGTTGAATGGGAGTCTAACTCTGCTTCATTTCCTTGATATACTTGTCCATCGCTCGGCTACAGACATTTCTTTTTCTGCTTATGGCATATACATTTACAATTTCTCTTACCATGCTTCCTCTATCTTGAAAAGTGCTCTTATTTCTCGCTTTCTCCGTGCCTTCCGTATTTGTGAACAATAATAAATCTACACTACTACTACTGTTTACATAACTTCGGAGGGTCTGTTTCATCGCTCTTTACGACTTAAATTTTGACTGTAAATTTCATCGAAAACTAATAGATAATATGCACAGGTAGCGCTACACTTGTAGTTAATGAATATATTGATTCAGTTGCGTCTATCGGAAGACGAGCAAACTGTTGAGGTTAAGTGTAGTGTTAAGACACCACTGTACTAGCATTGTTGTTACACGCATGTCTAACAACACGCATGTGTAACAACACACATGTGCAACAACACGCATGTGTAACAACACGCATGTCTAACAACACGCATGCGTAACAACACGTATGTCTAACAACACGCATGTCTAACAACACGCATGTCTAACAACACGCATGCGTAACAACACGCATGTCTAACAACACGCATGTCTAACAACACGCATGTGTAACAACACTCATGTCTAACAACGCGCATGTCTAACAACACGCATGTGTAACAACACGCATGCGTAACAACACGCATGTCTAACAACACGCATGTCTAACAACACGCATGTAACACGCGTTACAACACGCATGGTAACAACGCATGTGTAACAACACGCATGTGTAACAACACGCATGTGTAACAACACGCATGTGCAACAACACGCATGCGTAACAACACGCATGTGTAACAACACGCATGTGTAACAACACGCATGTGTAACAACACGCATGTGTAACAACACGCATGTCTAACAACACGCATGTCTAACAACACGCATGTGTAACAACACGCATGTGTAACAACACGCATGTGTAACAACACGCATGTGTAACAACACGCATGTGTAACAACACGCATGTGTAACAACACGCATGTGTAACAACACGCATGTGTAACAACACGCATATCTAACAGCACGCATGTGTAACAACACGCATATGTAACAACACGCATGTGTAACAACACACAGAGATGCATCTCTGTGTGTGGATGAACTACCTACCTGGAGTCTACCTGAAGCGTATTCCGGGGATCAACGCCCCCGCGGCCCGGTCCATGGCCAGACTTCCTGGTGGATCAGGGCTTGACCAACGAGGCTGTTACTGCTGGCAGCACGTAGTCCAACGTACGAACCACAGCCCGGCTGATCCGGCACTGGCTTTAGCTATCTGTGAGTCGAGAGTGTAATCCCTATTGGCTTTAAAACCAGAAAGTCAACCAACTAGGTATACTAGCCGCAGTATACTACGCTATACTACTGTTCGTTATAATATAACAATTAAAACCTTAATTAATTAAAAAGGAGAAAAGTGAAAGTAATTGAATGTCCAGTTTTATCACAAAATTTACTTCAATTAGTCGAAATAAACACAACACAGACGAAATAAATTTTAGTTCTAGTATGTTACAAATAACTGGAAGAAAATAGACTAGCTTTCAACTGAAGGAATTAACGTAACTGAGGTATACTAACTACTACTACTACTACTACTACTACTACTAATATATAATAATAATAATAATAATAATAATAATAATAATAATAATAATAATAATGATAATGATAATAATAACTGGCAAATTCTACAGAATAAGCTGAAACACCGATCAAGGAAATAAGGACAAGAGAGTTTAAAATGTAATATACCCAAAAAAAAAACGTGTGGTTACGAAAATAGAAGAGCGGAACATGTGACAGGGGAACAGAAATTGGAGGACATGTGACAAGGTTAGTGTGGAATTGAGGCGAAGGAAGGGCGGGGGAGGAGGAGGAGGAAGAGATGAAGAAGAGGAGGAGAGAGGGAGAAGAAGGAATAAGAGGAGCAGGTGGGCAGGCAGGTAGGTACCTTCTAAGACCTAGGTAGTCTTGAGACTAGCCAGTGGCGCCCGGGCGGTCGGAGGGGAAGGACGTGTGCGTGGTCCGCTCACTCCTGGCCACGCCTGATATATTGTGTTGTGTTGCAGATAGTTTGCGAAAGAAATATATAAATGGGTTAGTGAGTTATGATATACGCGGGTGAATTAGGGCTCTGTGCTGGGAGACTTGGCCACTTACTGGCGGGTTGGGAACTTCACTGCTCGGGACCCAGAAAAGAAAATGATCAGTGCCGGTTTGTGTACAAATATATATAAATTAGTATCTAAACGACCAGTAATACTGGCAGTGCGACTGTGAAATACATGACACATTGCAAGTGGCAGATCAACCAGACTGTGATGGATATATGGGCCAGAGAGCCACCAACAGCAACAGTCTGGTTGACCAGGCAATCAACAGAAAAACGTAGCTCCAGGCCGGCTGTGAGAGGAGAAAAACTCTCAAAACAGGCCACGGGGATCACAGATATCATTGATTTAGGCAGAACATTCCGTGAAATATACCGGTCTTCCTAGCTTTAGTTAGTTTAAAACTCTTATTTTGGTAGCAGTTCTAATTCTAGTATTAGTGGTCAAGTGTCACCAAGTAATTTAAATTATTAATACTCACAAGGAGAGTCCTGACACGGGTCGTAATCTTTCGACGACCCGTTATGAAACATTGAGAGCTACTAGCAGCCTGGCAAATGTTTAAGACATTAGGGATGTTTTGGAAAGCTAATTTACCAGTAACAGAATGTGTTGAAGTTCTCGAGGATCAAATTGTATTGTATTACAGGAATATTACGCTTAGTACAGAGACCGCAGCCACGGCGTATCTGATGCCACAGTTACTCATCTCTGCCCCTCGAGGAAGGCTCCTTGATGTTGGTGAGGGGCTCTTGATTTAGGGAATTGGATCTGTGCTCCAGTTCCCCAAATTAAGCCTGAATGCCTTCCACATCCCCCCCCCCCAGGCGCTGTATAATCCTCCGGGTTTAGCGCTTCCCCTTTGATTATAATAATAATAATACTCATCTCTGGAGTAACTTTCCTTTAACCAGACATTGCGGGATGTAGGTGCTTCTTAATCCGTTCAGACTGTCATTTGAAACACTGGGCCGATCCCAGTCAGTGTAAATCCAGTAATATGTACATGCCGCACCGTGAGAATGGAACATATATATTATTATATATATATATATATATATATATATATATATATATATATATATATATATATATATATATATATATATATATATATATATATATATATATATAAGAGAGAGAGAGAGAGAGAGAGAGATAGATATATTGATAGATAGATAGCTGATAAACTGGCAAATCACTCGGCAACAGAGCTGGAGAACTGGGTTCGAATCCTGAAGACTGTTATAAGACATAACACATCTCCCTCTCTTTCTCTTTCACTTATTCAATCACTGTCTTGCCAGAAGAGCTTAAGTTAAATGACTCTTACAGGAACCAGGAGAGACAGGAGGAGCTTAAAGCTGTTAGTGAAATTGAAAGAAATTCAAAATATTTCTTTTCATATGCCAAAAACAAGGCAAATACCACATCTAGTATCGGGCCCTTACTCAGACAGGATGGGACTTACACAGATGACAACAAGGAAATGAGTGAAACATTGAAATCCCAGTACGACTCTGTGTTTAGTGAACCACTAATCGGTCTAAGGATCGACGACCCAAATGATTTCTTCATGAATGAGCCTCAAAACTCCATAAATGTATGCCAGATTTCCGACATTACCCTAACTCCGATAGATTTCGAAAAAGCCATTGACAACATGCCCATGCACTCAGCCCCGGGCCCAGACTCGTGGAACTCTGTTTTCATTAAGAACTGCAAGAAACCCCTCTCGCGTGCCCTAAGTACACTATGGAGGAGGAGCTTGGACATGGGTGAAATTCCACAGTCACTTAAAACAACGGATATAGCCCCACTCCATAAAGGTGGCAGCAAAGGATTAGCTAAGAACTATAGACCAATAGCTCTGACATCCCACATCATAAAAATCTTTGAAAGAGTGCTAAGAAGCAGAATTGCAAATCACCTGGATTCCCAAAATCTGCACAATCCAGGGCAACATGGGTTCAGGGCAGGTCGCTCCTGCCTCTCGCAACTACAGGATCACTATGATATGGCCTTGGATGCACTGGAAGAAAATCAGAATGCAGATGTAATATACACAGACTTTGCAAAAGCATTTGACAAATGCGATCATGGCGTAATAGCCCATAAAATACGTGCTAAAGGAATAACTGGGAAAGTGGGGAAATGGATCTTCAACTTCCTAACAAATCGAACACAAAGAGTAGTGGTCAACAGAGTTAAATCGGAGGCTGCCATAGTGAAGAGCTCTATTCCACAAGGCACAGTACTCGCCCCCATCATTCCTCATGCTCATATCAGACATAGACAGAGATATACATCACAGCACCGTATCATCCTTTGCGGATGATACTAGGATCTGCATGAGGCTGTCATCTGCTGAGGACGCGGTTAACCTCCAAGAAGATATAAACAAAGTTTTCCATTGGGCAACGGTAAACAATATGATGTTCAATGAGGACAAATTCCAACTACTCCGTTATGGAAAACTGGAGGAGATAATAACTAGAACAGAGTATACTACAGACTCTGGATTCTTGTGGCTTAGCGCTTCTTTTTTATTATAATAATAATAATAATACAGACTCTGGCCATACAATAGAGTGGAAAAATAATGTAAGGGACCTGGGAGTAGTATTGTCTGAGGATCTCACTTTCAAGGATCACAACAGTGCCACGATCGCACGTGCAAAGAAAATGATAGGATGGATAATGAGAACGTTCAAAACGAGAGATGCCAAGCCAATGATGATCCTTTTCAAATCACTTGTTCTCTCTAGGCTGGAATACTACTGTACATTAACATCTCCATTCAAAGCAGGTGGAATCGCAGATCTAGAGTGTACAGAGATCCTTTACTGCACGTATAAGTTCTGTCAAGCACCTTAACTACTGGGAACGCTTTGGAAGCACTTGACTTGTACTCGTTGGAACGCAGGAGGGAGAGAGATATCATAATCTACACTTGGAAAATCTTGGAAGGAATGGTCCCAAATCTGCACACAGAAATCACTCCCTACGAAAGTAAAAGACTGGGCAGGCGATGCAAAATGCCCCCAATAAAAAGTAGGGGCGCCATTGGTACACTAAGGGAAAACACCATAAGTGCCCTGGACCCAAGACTGTTGAACAGCCTCCCATCAAGCATTAGGGGAATTGCCAGTAAACCCCTGGCTGCCTTTAAGAGAGAGCTGGGCAGATACCTAAAGTCAGTGCCGGATCAGCCGGGCTGTGGCTCGTACGTTGGACTGCGTGCGGCCAGCAGTAACAGCCTAGTTGATTAGGCCCTGATCCGTCGGGAGGCCTGGTCATGGACCGGCCCGCGGGGGCGTTGATCCCCGGAATAACCTCCAGGTAACATCACAATTTAGATGATCCTCCAAACAGCAACGTCACCATTCCTTCAGAGTGCAGGCATTGTACCTCCACCTCCCGGACTTAAGTACGGCTCACTGGTTTCCCTGAATCCCTTCATAAATGTTACCGTGCTCACACTCCAACAGCATGTCAGCTCATAAAAAAAAACACTTGCCACCACTTCTATCTAACAGGCTTACACAAGCATGTTGGATGTCTAAGCCCCTTGCATTCAAAGCTTCCTTTACCCCCTCCTTCCAATCTTTCCTAATACGACCTTTACCGTTCCTTCCTTCCACCCTACATTTATACGCTCTCTTAGTCATCCAGTTTTTCCGCATTCTCTCCAAATGTCCATACCACAACAACCCTTCCTCGGCCTCTAAATAACACTTTTGGTGACTCCATACCTAATCTCCAAATGCCGAATTCTCCGCATATTCACACCACACATTACCCTCAGACATAACATCAACTGCCTCCAGTCACTTCCACAGAGGCCTTAGCGCACCACCCACCGTTTTGCCTTCGTTAACTGCATGGTTTACCTCATTTGTCACAGACCCATCTGCCGACAAGTCCACTCCCGGATATCTGAACACATATACTTCTTCCATACTCCCTCCCTCCAATCCCAATATCTAATCTCTCATTACCTATGTTTCCTTGATTCTCTTATCACCTTCCTCTTTCCTAAGTTTACTTTTAATTTCTATTTTTATATACCCACTCTTACTTATTCACCAACCTTTGCAACTTCTCTTCCAAATCTCCCAACAGAGCTGTGGTAGGCATAAAGCAACGGTGACAACAAATTCGTTCCAGATTCACTGTCTTTCAACACCGCACCTCTCTCTAACAGTCCTAGCATTCACTTCCTAGACAGGGATGTGTGATATCACACATCCTTGTCAAAGCCCCACATTTACTGGAAAATCATCTCCCTCTCTCCTACATGCCCTAACCTGTGCCTAGCTTATTCCATACAGCTGCAGTATCTGCCATATTGCTGCTCTATCCAGAGTATCATACACTTTTTCTGAATTAAATGTAATGAAAAGTTCCTTGACATTGTCTGAATATTGTTCATTTATATGCTTCATACACTTGGTCTACATATCCTCTACCCTTCCTTAAACATTGTTCCTCTGCAATCCTATTCTCTATCTTACCCATAATTCTTTCAATAATAGCTCTCCCATAAACTTGGTATACTCGGCAGGCTTATTCCCCTATTATTCTTACACTTTTATCCCTTTTTCCCTTATATATAGGATCCATGTATGCTCTCTACCAATCACCAGGTACCTTCCCCCATTTCATGCATATATTTAACAAATGCACCAGCTGCTCCAAAACTATATACTCACTTACTTTTAACATTTGTCTTAACCCTATGTATCCCAGCTGTTTTACGTCCTTTCATTTTATCCACTGCCTCATACATCTTTCTTAGACTCACATTTGGTTCTTCCTCACTCCTGAAAGGTGTTATACTTCCCTGCCCAGTGCAAGAGATCACTGCGTCCCACTCTTCACCAGCATTCAACAAGTCCTGAGAATATTTCCTCAATCTCAGTACCTCAGCATTCGCATCTAATGGCTCCCATTTTTTGTTTTTAACTTAAATCCGTTTGTTCT